GGCATGCTGCACTGGACTTTAATATAGATGCTATTTCTTAGGGTTACTAGAAACCAAATGTGCTTTGATATTTCTGATGATAAGCAGAATCAGTTTCTGATGCATGCATTTTGGAGGGGACTTGAAAAACAGCCGAGAAGCCTTGCTGCAGTCTGTGCTCTGTTTCAGGAGTTCCACCAATAAAAGTTTTATCAACTGGGGACTTTGTTGATCAGCTAAGACTTTGGGATCTAAGTGACCCCCCCCCAAGAAACAGAAAAAAAGGTGTGAAAGGGAAAGACTTAAACGGAGGCCGTTTTGTGAAACAGATAATTTCTTATCTTGTGGAAAGGTAATTTAATTGAAGAATCAGGCCTGCCATTTGGGCTTCCTTCTGCATTCAGCCTTGTTCCTGCCCACATAGTGGGAATTCTGCCTTTGCCCAGTTTAGTTGGGCACCAGCTGCATTTATCCCTGAGGAAGTCGATTCTGTCTATAGCAACCGGTGCCCCGGTTACATCCAGGTTAGATTACTCCCGTTCACTCTTTGGAGTCTTTGGATCATGTTAACAAGTGCTCTGGTACACTTGTGTGGATTATTAGTTTCAGGGCACAGTTCAGAGAGTTGCGTCTTTCTCCTGTTCCTCCTCCTCCTCCCTTGTATTTTAAAAAAAGAGTAGTAACAACATAGTAGTGTGGAACCTTTGTAGTGTACACATCAAAAAGCTGTTGAGGTCAACAGAAAAAGAAGAAGTTACAGACAAATGATTAGACTCCTTCAAGTGACATGCAATTTATAGCCTGCTGCCACGAGCAGTTTTGCTATCAATACATTATGTACTAGGGATTTATTAATACCTTCCCTAAATATAGAAATGGGATGCGGGTGGCGCTGTGGGTTAAACCACAGAGCCTAGGGCTTGCCAATCAGAAGGTGAGCAGTTCAAATCCCCGCGACGGGGTGAGCTCCCGTTGCTCGGTCCCTGTTCCTGCCAACCTTGCAGTTCGAAAGCACGTCAAAGTGAAAGTAGATAAATAGGTACCGCTCCGGCGGGAAGGTAAACGGCATTTCCCTGTGCTGCTCTGGTTTGCCAGAAGTGGCTTAGTCATGCTGTACGCCGGCTCCCTCGGCCAATAAAGCAAGATGAGCGCCGCAACCCCAGAGTCGGTCACGACTGGACCTAATGGTCAGGGGTCCCTTTACCTTTAAATATAGAAAGGAAGACAAGAACGGGATTTTGAGCCCCTTAATAATTTGTGCGTAGGATACCCGAGAAGCTGCCACCTCACATACCAGCTGCCTGTTCATTAAGATCTAGTGAGGAGGCCACCCTGTGTCCCACCTATGGTGGTAATGAGATGGCTTGGAACATGAAATAGGGCCTTCTCAGTGGCTGTACCAGTGTTATGGAACACCTTGCCCCATGAGGTTTGGGTGGCTCCATCTTTGATTGCAGCTTGGTTGTTTGTGAAGCCTCTTTCAGTTTGGCAGGCTTTGGATTTGTCCTTCTGAGTTGTTATTAGTGGGAAACTGAGACCCCAGAATCGTTTTGACTCCCTAACTTCAGTGAGTCCACTTAGAACTTACAGTCATGGGAAAAAGAAAGTGCACCCTCTTTGACTTCTGTGGTTTTATTTATGAAGACATAATAACAATCATCTGTTCCTTAAAAAGGTAAAGGACCCCTGACAGTTAAGTCCAGTCGCGAATGACTCTGGGGTTGCAGCGCTCATCTCGCTTTACTGGCCAAGGGAGCCAACGTTCATCCACAGACAGTTTTTCCAGGTCATGTGGCCAGCATGACTAAGCCACTTTTGGCGAAACTAGAGCAGCGCACGTAAACGCCGTTTACCTCCCCACTGGAGTGGTACCGATTTATCTACTTGCACTACTGGCCAACCTACTCGAACAGCTAGGTTGGCAGGAGCTGGGACCGAGCAACGGGAGCTCATCCCGTCACAGGGATTCGAACTGCCGAACTTCCGATAGGCAAGCCCTAGTCTCAGTGGCTTAGACAGGTCTTAAAATTAGGTACGTAAATACAACCTCAGATAAAGAACAACAAACGACATCTTACACAGTGTCATGATTTATTTGACAGAAATAAAGCCAAAATGGAGAAATCATGTGTGAAAAACTAAGTACACCCCTACTGCTTCCATAGAAGTCCTACAGAAAATGATTACTTCAAGTTATTGCTGCTTAAGGTTCAACAAGCTATTGAATAATAAGGTGTACTTAGTTTTTCACACATGGCTTTTCCATTTTGGCTTTATTTCTGTTAAATAAATAATGACACGATCCAATATGTCATGTGTGGTTGTTCATCTGAGATTGTATCTACCTAATTTTAAGACCTGCTAAGGAACAGATGAATGTTGTTATGTCTTCATATGTAAAATCACAGAATTCAAAGAGGGTTCACTTTCTTTTTCCCATGACTGTACAGTGGTACCTTGGTTTAAGAACAGCTTAGTTTATGAACAACTTAGATTAAGAACACTGCAAACCTGGAAGTAGCTCTTTTGGTTTGTGAACTTCGCTTTGGAATAAAAACATGTTTCACTTCCTGTTGAGTGTGTTCCATTTGTAAATGGAGTCCCCCGCTGCTATGGGAAAGCACGCCTTGGTTTAAGGACGCTTTGGTTTAAGAACGGACTTCCGGAGTGGATTAAGTTCGTAAACCAAGGTACCACTGTAATTGAAATCAACCCATAATTTTAAAATGACAACCTCAGAGTTTCTTGCATGGTCAACAAGGAGAAAGAACAAATGGAATACTTTTAAAAAGATGATTCCAGAATGTATTTTAATTGAAAATTTCTTTTAATTTTAACTGTTTTTTGTGTGTATTCTAACTTTGTACATTGCTTATAGACTACTGTAGTTAAGCGGCATATAATTTTTAAAATAAATAATATTTTGTATTCAGTTTATTGTTTAGAACATGAGAAGGCAATGAAGGCTACAAATAATGTTTTGTATGTAAGAAGGGGGCATGGCACCAACTCTCTGAGGAACAATATTACAAAGTAGAGACGTGGCAATTTAAAATAGGCTGAATATGGAGTGCATATCAAAATACACCCAAATTAAAGTCTCATGTTGAATATAACTGATCTGTAGGAAGGACTTTGTGATCTGAAAATTTGATGTACTTTTTTAAACCCCAGAAAATTTTTAATAATAATAATTTTAAAATTGTCACAAGCCATCTCTGAAGCTTAGATCGTTTGGCTTGCACTTGTTCAATAGCACATAGGTTTGCTTGTTTGGTACATTCTGCTCAACATGTGACAGGCATTTTCTAGACTCAATATTTTATTCTAGCATATTTGGCAGCCCTATAATTATAAAGATGCATGCAATGCCTCACTTTAAGTTTGGTTTTTCTCATGCTAGAGCATTGCTCATGTTTCTTTGCTTAGTTCATTAATCTTTATTAAATAAAGATGTTGGTTGTTCATAATGGATAAAACTGATATTCGGCAGAACAAGAAGTCTAAAGGTGTTTCCTATTAATTTGTCATTAAGTGGAGAGATCTAGTTTTCTGGATTAAATCTGTGGTGATGCCCTGTGCCTGTGTTCTCTCTGTTTAGGGAGTTGGGGCAGTTCCATACAACAATACGTACTTTGTACCAGGGCATAAAATTTATGTGCGTTACATATATTAGTTGTGAGGGGTGTGTGCATTTGTTTTGCTGCTTGTTCCTTTAAAATGCATAGAAGCAGCAACTGGAAGAGCAGCTATTTCAATTACAGCAACCATTTTAAAATGTACATCTATAAATAGAAATTAGTGTATGCAGTTTTTATGCAAATATATATATTCTTTATTCCTTTTTTGCAGCATTTGTACCAGAATGTGCTGCTAGTCTAGCATGATCTCATACTTTGGACTTCTGATTATGAAAATCTATGACCTCATCAAACAGCATGGACTTTACTTTCTATCTCTTGGGGAAAATGCTGCTTTGCCCCAGTGATTATTATTATCTGCTTCTGGAAAGCTTTGAAAGCTTGCTGCAGCCTAACCCTATGCATGTCTTGCGTGTCAAGGTCCACAGGGTCACCCCAATAACTCACACATCACACAGAATTTTTTGTTTAAGATTTTTGGCTAATTTTGGCCACAACATTATTAAAATACAAATTTGTGAGTGAGTGGGACCTCCTTCCATATACTGTATGCATAATATTCTTGCATGTATACATAGGAAGCCGGATAAAATGTTGTCTCTTAGTAGATATAATTAGCAGCACAAGAGGCTTGTGGACTGGATGGTCTAAGGTTTTGCATAATGGCTCTATTAGTAGCAAAGCAATGTGCTTTCATTGATAACAGTAGCCAAATGGAATGCCTGCTTGCCTAGGAAATCTACTAAGTTCAGAATGGAATTGATAGAAATGGGTTTCCCTCTTAGAATCATAGAATCATAGAGTTGGAAGAGACACAAGGGGCCATCGAGTCCAACCCCTGCCAAGCAGGAAACACCATCAGAGCACTCCTGACTTATGGTTGTCAAGCTCTGCAAAGACTGGGACTCCACACATCCTTGGCAGCAATTCATGTCGAACAGCTCTATGTCAGGAAGTTCTTCCTAGTTTCGGATCTCTTTCTTGTGTGGATAATTGCTCCGTGTCCGCTTCTCTGGAGAGCGAAAACACCTTTCTCTCCTCTATTACATCCTTTTTATTGAACATGGCTATCATATCACCCCTTAACCTCCTCTTCTCCAGGCTAAACATGCCCAGCTCCCTTAGCCGTTCCTCATAAGGCATCGTTTCCAGGCCTTTGACCATTTTGGTTGCCCTCCTCTGGGCACGTTCCAGTTTGTCAGTGTCCTTCTTGAACTGTGGTGCCCAGAACTGGACACAGTACTCCAGGTGACACAGTACTCCAGGTGAACTTATCTTAATTTATTTCGCACACACACACCATCTTGATTTGCCGAAAAGGTTACGTCACTACCACTGCCCTGTACGTTCTTCTTAAGTTTGTTTTCTCTCTCTTTTTAGGCTATGGCCAAACTGGTCCGAAGTTTCAACGAGCAGGCTATGACTCTGTCGCAGCTGCAGTTTCAGGCCTCTTGCATATCACAGGTCCCCAGGTATGCTACCACAAGTGAAGCACAGTGCTTTTGCTGTAATTCAAAACTTCAGCGTTGCATGGTTTGCAGTAATGGACAGAATTAATGAGATTTAGGAAGTGGGAAACAGTGGAAATAAGATACTGTGTAGTTAAGGATCATCTTGGCATGCCGTCAGGGCCTCCTCCTCAAGAGTCTAAAACATTGCCTTGATTTCAGATTGATTTCAAGAAAGAACACGTGGGTCCCTGCAACAAAATGTTGCAGTATCCCTGGCACTCAGGTGTGTTACAGGTGTGGGCCTGTGATTTAGGGTGCTTAAAAAGTTAGCATTAAAGACAAGAGTCCTAGTTCAAAGGTTGGTATTCACGTGCCACATTTATTGATTTTTAGGTTTTGAATATTTGGGAAGTGCTACTGGTACACATGGAAGACTGTAGCCTTATGAGGCTTTGCCCTCGGGTGGGAAAAATATTGCGCCCGGGAAAGGGAGATGGGAGTCAACAGACACTCAAGGAATAGTTTCGGAGAAAAAGCTTTTATTTCTACCATGCATGAACTGGTAGAAGGAGCAAGTGTGATAAGTCACAAAAAGCATGCATGGGTTCACAGTCATGTGCACAAACATATATACCCCTTCCTGTTCCCTCCTCTTTCTCCTCCCTCAGGAGTCCTGCCTCATGAGTTCCTCTGAGCATGAACAGAAAGCTCCTGTCTTGGGACTCTTCCCAGGAAAGGGAGGGTGAGAAGCCAAGGGGTTTCAGAGCGTTCAAAGATGTTGCAACTGAATGAGATAAAAGTCAGTTCTAAGGCCTGCTCTGACAGAGTCTATTCATTAGCTTTTCGAAGCCTTCTTTTTGCCTACGCACATCATCTTGTGAGAAATGCAGAGGAAAGCTTTAGCTGTGGATTTTTAGAAGACAAAAGGAATTTTGGACAGTTTTGAGGCCTGGTTGCGGGGTGTGTGTGTGACTTCGGGCCTAGGTGGGATCACCTGTCCTCACCTCCTTCAAGACAATCGAGTATGAGACTTCTCCATGCTATTAAGTGCTTGGTTTGGCCATCTGTGAGGTCGGAGAGGACAATTTATGTCTCACTTCTGGCCTACAATTTTGCAAGGCTGCTGTAAGCTACTCTCTCTCAGCCTGGCTTTTGTACTTGCAGTTGGGTATTATACAGTAAACCACGTTGCAGGAGTATATTTCAGTTTCTCACTTTCCTTAGTCGCCCCCCCCCTTTCAGATGTTCTGCAGCCCTCAGGGTTACCCTGACTCTGCCAATGCTGCTCTGTTGTGCATGGCCAATGTTTTTCTGGCTACGTCAAGTACAGTGGTGCCCCGCAAGACGAATGCCTCGCAAGACGGAAAACCCGCTAGATGAAAGGGTTTTCCGTTTGCGATGCGCTTCGCAAGACGAATTTCCCTATGGGCTTGCTTCGCAAGACGAAAATGTATTGCGAGTCTCGCCATTTCCCCCCACTTTTTCTAAGCTGCTAAGCCACTAATAGCCTTTTAGCAGCCAAGCCGCTAAGCCTTTAATAGCTGCTAAGCCGCTAAACCGCTAATAGCGCTAAGCCGCTTAGCCGCTAATGGGGTTGCTTCGCAAGACGAAAAAACCGCTAGACGAAGAGAATCGCGGAACGGATTCTTTTCGTCTTGCGAGGCACCACTGTACAACCATGGGAGGAACCATGTCAGTTTTTGCCCTCTCAGTCTCTCAACAGTCCGTGCCCCTGAGTTGATATGGGGCTGTTTGGGGGGATTAATTCTCCCTTAGCAAGACAGGTGGGAGCCAGGTTCGAATGTAGGCTTGCCCACGAACTCCTTCATTCATGCAAGGTGCCATCCCTGCGCTTAAGCCCTCAATACGGGGCTGATGGAAGGATTGTTAGAGTAACATATGCTCAGCTCTTGGAACACAATCAAGTCATATAAAAATGTGAAATACTATTACATCTCACTTGTTCTGAAGATTTCAGCAGCTTCGTTTTCTTTCTGCAAGGAGAGATGTCAGCAAGAGATTTTAGTTATGTGTTGTGACTAGTAATTCTGGTTTGACGGATACAAAGTTGTTTAAAAAATGGAAGTTTGATTATTTGTTTATTGGAAGAAGTTCTTCTCTCTGATTTGTTTGCAAAAATACAAAAATGGAATAAATCAAAAGTTTAAAAATGTAGCTTATGTAAGTATAGAACTGATTGCTGATTATGTTTTAAACTTAACAAAATAATGTGAAGTTCTAAACAATGGAAAAGCTGAGCCCATCCTGTGTCCTGCAAAGCATGCTGGGAAGCACCATAAAACCCTATTAATTTTATATAAAGCATTAACAACAGTAATAAAGAATAACAACAACAATATTTTAGATTGTAGGCAGGCACTTTCTTATCACTGACATTTGTAAGGCACTTTTTTGGCATCTTTTGGCTGAAGAATAGGATAAAAATGCTTCTAATAATTTAAGTAGCTTACCATTTACAATTTTTCCCTGGGCTGTGCAACAAAATAAAATATGCAATATATAGTCATCATTAAGAACCAATAACTCAACCTTCCTTGCATAGAGGCAGCATAAAATCATTTATGACCCAGGTTTAAAACACAGTTTAAAACCCTGTGATAAGAAGGGACCAGGCAAGGCTCTCTGCCGACTTTCTTCCATAGCTGAAGTGCCGCTACTAAGAAGGCTCTCTCCCTCACTTAATTACTATTAAAGGAACCTGTCCTAAGGTGTTTAGGGTTTTGTAGGTTAAAACCAGATCTTTAATTGGGTCTGGGAGTGGACTGGGTGCCAATGCGGCTGATAAATCACTGACATAATTTAATTAAAACTTGTGGTTCTGCTTTGAACCAACTGTGGTTTTCAGGCCATTTTTAAAAGCAGCTTGACATACAAAGCATTTCAGTAGTTAAAATGGGGTGGGAGCTATATGATATGATAATCTTTATTGTCATTCTTCCATACAGAGCAACAAAATTGAAAAATCTACGTAAGACATTCAGAAACCAACAAGCCTGCTATCACAACCTGGTTAGCCCCCTAAAAACTCTGATACCCCATTTTAAAATAAAATATACTCCCATAGAGACTTCTTACACTGCGTTTAAATCTATCAAAGCATGGATAACTATGGCTATTAGACGATTTACCATCAAGATAGAAGAACTACTAGAAGATTTTCCAATCATAAACCATAAAGGAAAACAATGATCAGTAAGACAATTCTACATATCCCTCCCTTCTAATTGCTGTGCATTTAAATTGTAATATCGCCACGGCAGTGGACTTTTCTATAAGGTTACAAATTGTGGGCCACTCTGAATGTGTTTCAACTTGAATTGATCCCTATTGAGTTGGATCAGACTTTTAGGTAAAATACAGATGATGTTGATGCATCTGGTATTATCATTTGGTTATCAAACTTCTCCTGCAAAGCTTTGATCTCCAGCCAACACATTTGGAAAAAGATTAAAGCCAAAGCAGTAGGGTCTAAAATGCCTGAGTAAGAAAAAATGGTGGCACATTCAGAGAACATAATAAATCTAAAAGAGAAAATTACTAACAGTTTCCAAGTCTGCAGTTTCTTATGGTACCTTTTCAGCTTCTTTTTAATTGTATTTGTTGTATGTACTGGGAGACTCTGACTGCATGGGCACTTTAACCTATAATAGTTTACTCCATGGGGTGCCTAACTGGTTTGAAATGTTAGCATAGCATGAGCTCTTTTTAAGGATTATTGATCTTGCTTAATTATGAAGAAGATGACCTAACTGATGCAGATGCCTTTGTCTGGCACGTGGCCATTTTAAAATAACTCACAGAAACATAACCTGAATGATTCTGTGTGCTGGAAGCAATTTTGAGTGGTCTAATCCAAACCCTCATGGCTTCCCATGTTGCGCTGGACTTTGCCTCCATATGTGCCATTGTTTAGCAAAGAGAGAGGCTGAAACTAATAAGAAATTGGCTTCTGAATCTGATTTCCATCATGATGAGTTGGGTGTCAGATGATGAAGCTAAATACAGATCAACTTCCCCACAAAATATTTAGCCTAATCCTATGGTTCTCATCCCTAAAGAAACATTAAATGTGTGTAACTACATTTATACTGCAATTCCTATGTACTGCTACCCAGAGGTAAACTGCACTGGGTTCAGTGGGGCTTTGAGACACACTCCCATTCATTATCTGTGGCCTTTACCTCTCCTTTGCTTCTGTTACCTCCTCCGTTTGTGAACATTTAGATTGTAAACTCTTGGAGACAGAGATCCATCGTTGTCGTTTGGTTTAATTACATGCTATGCCATTGGTGCTATGTAAGCAAATTATTATTAACTGGCAAAATTTCTACGATCTCTGCTGCAGGTACCTAACTGCGTCCCCAACTTCGTACTTCTGTTAGAAGCTGATGAATGCCCAATTTCAACTAAAGCGTGGTGGGCTGCCCTAAAACATCGGCTCAGGATTTCAGTGTTTAATCTAGGGAAGGGTTTGTACCAACACCTGACCAATGAGGAATTTGTCAGCAAATGGCAGAAAACCATGGCTAAAAAAGCCACCTCTATTGGTTTGTCTCCCCCCCAACTGTATTACCTGGGTTATGAAGGCGCCCAAAAGATTTTAAAGCAAAGATTATGGGATAATGCACACAGTGACTTGCGATCTCGATCACACGCAGTCTGTAGTCCGCTGGCAGTAGGAGTTCAATATGGGTATGTTTTTAAGTTACATCTTACATTAAAAACCTGACAGTACCAAACTACCGAAGGCTTTTCACCAAAGCCAGACTAAATGTCTTTCCCTCTGCAGTGCTGGATGGTAGGTTGAGAGGAGTTCCCTACCAGGACAGACTTTGCTCGTGTGCTCAAGACATCGATTCCATAAAGCATATTTTATTGCATTTTGCAAAATATGAGCAGGCCAGAGCTGAACTGATACTACCCTTGCTGGTATCTTTCCCGGGAAAATCAGAGGCTCACTATGTCAGGTTCCTACTGGAAGACCGAACAAATGCTAGAACGTTAGCAGTGGCAAAGTTTTTATCGGTGGTTGCAAGAACAAATGAGCCCTATATTCTAAACAAAATGCTTGATTAATCTGGAGGTAGGCTGTATGAATTGTGTATGATTTGTAATGATTTGTTGGGTCTCTGGACCGTAATAAAGATTGATTGATTGATTGATTGATTGACTGTATGATTGTTTTCATTCTTACAACCAACCATACAGAGATGGAGCTCTGTGTAACTCAAAAGTCTGGCTACCAGCATTTTAAACACTACTTGATGTAAATAAGCCTTATTTGTGGTGTGTTTTGTCCTCCCCTTTTGCTTTCCAGTCCAGATCAACAAGTCCTAAGGAATGTAGATGGTTAAAGTTAGAGAGTTTCCACTTGGAAACTGAAACTTTATTGCCATCATGCTGGAGGGTGGAAGTTCATGGAAGAATGAGTTGGAAGGGACCCAAAATAATCTGAATTCAACCCAGTTCTACTCTGGGTGCTCATCATCTGAGGCCCTCTTCCTGTGTTCCCTCCATGAGAGGTCTGCAGGGTGGCAACAGGAGAGGGGGCCTTTTCTGCAGTGGCTCCCTGGTTGTGGAATGCTCTTTTCAGGGAGACTCCCCTGGCGCCATCATTATATATCTTTAGGCACAAGGAAAAAACTTTCCTCTGTAACCAGACCTTTGGCCTTTAAGTATCTGTGGCATTTTAGTAGTAAGTGGGATTTTTTACTGTATTTCTTTTTCCTCTTGGTTTTCATGTAGCTTTGGGGGGGGGGTTGTCTGCCTCCCTGTCTGTAAGTTGTTTTGGGTTGCCCTGGGCAGAATAAAGTGACTAACAAATTCAGCAAATGATAATAATGAATAATAAAAAAGTGGGATTATCCATGATCACAGTTAGCAAGCAGATCACTTGAGAAGCTTGTGGTCACCTTCATTCTTAGAATCCTTAAACCAAAATAACTTGCTAACATATTTCCATGGAAGAGTCAAAGCCAAGTCTGTAGCCAATGGCAGTCATTTTACAAAATTTAGAGAAAATGTTTGTGTATAGTATTGAAATGTCAGCTTTTCTTTTGTCTTATTTTCCCCCCTTCTAGGAAGGTGAGCCAGTTAGGCCAGGAGTAGCCATGACTGATCTTGCCACAGGATTGTATGCATATGGTGCAATTATGGCTGGACTTCTTCAGCGATATAAAACAGGGAAGGGAATGCACATAGACTGCAATTTGCTATCATCTCAGGTGAGGACATATTCTGATATTTGGATAATGAGGACAGGATTCACATTCTGAATAATCTCTGCAGTATGGCACATGTGGCAAATTTCACTCAGGAGGCTTATGTGTGTGTTAATACCGAAAAAAATCACTGCACTATTCTGCTTCTATAAATGACATGATAGGATATCTATGAGGTTGAATTGATTGCACTAATTTAGCAAACTTTTAAGAGCATTTTAGCAAAATGATAAAATATGCATGTGGACTTGAATAGCTACAAGTCTGGTTCCAAAAATAGCAGATCAACAGTCTAATCTTTGGCATATCTTACTGCCAGGTATGTGGGCAGAGGCAACCTAAACTGACCGAAATGGTTAACAATATTATGGAAGACACATACATGCACCTATCTTTCTATGTACAGTACTTACCTATGATCAGCAATTGTTCTATGCTTCTAAAAAGACGGTAAGCAATTTACCAGGCAGAACAGTTTTATAAGCTGAATTTTAGCTCATGTTGAACAAGCCTTAACTATGTACAGTGGTACCTTGGTTTACAAACAGTCTGGTTTGCATACGTTTTAGATTACAAACATGTCAAACCTGGAAGTGCGTGTCCCAGTTTGCAAACTCTTTTTGGATTACAACCCTTTTTTGGGGGGGGGATTACAAACAAAAATTTTGGGGAGGCCCCATTGGCGAAAGTGTGCCTTGGGTTACAACCTGTTTTGGTTTACAAACGGACCTCCAGAACGGATTATGGTTGTAAGTAAACCAAGGTACCACTGTATTTTGTATTTTCATTTTGTATTTTTCTGTTGTGAACTGCCCTGGGATTTTCAGATGAAGGGTGGTATACAAATTTAATAAATAATAACAATAACCATTTTTTGTATTTTTGTATTTTATTCCCCCCCCAATGTCTCATCTTTAAGTGCATGTGTAATTTGCGGTTCATTAAAATTACCATGAATACTCCAACTTTGAGTGCTCAGAAGAAATACAGATATTTGTATTTGCATAGGATCCAAGCAATTGATCCTTTTGCTCAGTAGTAAATGCAGATTTTTTTGAAAAAATCTATTTATGTCACCTAGTAAATTATTACCATAAGCCCAGTCTCAGACCCATTGCAAAATGCATGTTGAATATGCCATTAAAAATGTAACTGAAGGGAATAGTATGGAAGATTTATTAATTTGTTATTAATTAATTTGATTTTTAGTCTGTCCTTCATCCATACCAGCGTAGAAAGGGACGCAGGTGGCACTGTTGTTTAAACCACTGAGCCTCTTGGGCTTCCCAGTCGGAAGGTTGGAGGTTCGAATCTGCACCATGGGGGAGTTCCCATTGCTCTATCCCAGCTTCTGCCAACCTAGCAGTTTGAACGCATACCAGTGCAAGTAGACAAATAGGTACCGCTCCAGCGGGAAGGTATATGACATTTCCGGATGCTCTTGCTTCCATCACAGTGTCCTGTTGCGCCAGAAGCAGTTTAGTCATGCTGGCCACATGACTTGGAAAGCTGTCTGTGGACAAATGCCAGTTCCCTTGGCCTGAAGCGAGATGAGCACCGCAACCCCATAGTTGCCTTTGACTGGACCTAACCATCCTTTACCTTTTTTTACCTACCAGGGTGGATTACATCTAAATGCACTGTTAAGACAACAAAGCAACTTTCACTAGGTAAAACATCAGAGAATATACACAGAACAATAATACAATAACACAGCACCGCTAGATGCTTCATATGGGTCACCATTTTGTGACAGGCCAAATGTTGTCCACCTCAGAAGCATTTGGAATTTTCAAATGCTGCCCCCAAAATGCTTCTGAGGTGGACAACATTTGGCCTGTCACAAAATGGCTGCCATTGGAGGCATGGCCACTCACACGTTATTGCCTTTTATTGCATGTTTGTGCCTTGGATACTGGGAAAAACCCCAGAGACAAAAGGAAGTGATGGGGGAACCGGAACAAAAACCAATGGCCCAGAGCCAGAGGAGAGGAAAAATAATCACATAAACTCTGTTTCTTCCCATTCCTTCTCTTGCTGGTCTGTCCTCCACCCCCTGCTTGCTGTTGCCTTTCAAAATGTGTTGCATCTCTTCTTCCCAGTCACTCCACTTTCTTCTTGGATTCCAATCTTAGCATGATAAGCTGGAGTTCCTCTCTCTCTACTGAAGGTTTATTAGGCAGAGGTGATTCTCTTCTCCCTTCTTAACAAGGGGAAAAGGGGGCAGTGAGGGGAGGGAGGAATGTAGAGGCTTCAAGGGCACAGTGGGCTGGGGCTGAAGGCTTGCATGGTTGCCATGTTGGGAACACCAGCTCCATAAGGTTTTAATTCTGTGGATTTGCTAAATCAGGCCACAGCTGGATAGTAGCTGATTTCTCACTAGAAGCAGTTCTTTATGAGTTGATCCGAAATTAATGGCTGGGCACCAGCATTCCAAAGTGCCTTGACTATAAACTTTTAACCCCTAACATAAAGTCCCTTTGAAACTTCCCCCTCCACTTACGTTATTTATGATAGTGTACTCGTCTTCTTAGCATCAGCATCTAAACAGTATTCTTTAGACGATAGTAAATAAGAAGGAAGTGGTTTTCGTACTTGTTTCCAATTATGAAACTGATCTGTGTCTTCTGTTGTGGCCTGAAAATATCTCTTGGAAGTTTTTATAATATCATTCCTGAATTTAATTGTAACCAGTTGAGGAGCAAGCAAACAACAAGAGTCCTGAGCCATTTCAGTTTCTACCATCTGCCTCAGTCTGACATTAAGCAAGGAATCCTACACTTCCATAAAATTCAGCTGTCTTTATTGTGCATCCCCCCCCCCAACTTCTGCCAAGGAAAGAATATCACTTTGATCCAGAGAGCTACTCGACTAACCACTGTGTGCCTATTTCCCTCTTGGCCTGCACCCCCATGCTGTGGGGTGAGCTGCTTTCGAAACACAGGCGCTTCAAGAGGTTTGCAATGCAATATGGGAGGCTGCCGGTTTTTGTTTTTTTAAAGGAGGGGGAACCAACACACCTAACTTTCACCCACCTCAAGAAATTCTTCTGCATTCCCGCCTCTAGTCAGCACTGTTAGCATTGCACATTTACTGGTAAGCCTCTTTTCTGCTTCTAATTACTTAATTTCATGCTTAAGTCACAAAAATATACAGTATTTTCTTTTAATTACAGATCAACTCTGGTTACGGTACTTTTCTTTCCCTTTATTGACAAATTTTATGCTTAATGATATTTTATCCCATTAGCCATTAATTCTTCAATGCAATGCAGTGACTACAGTTGTTCAGATATTGGTGTCTTCAAGATGGGATTCCTGTATGTCAGGGGTGCCCAAACTTTTTTCAAAGAGGGCCAGATTTGATGAAGTGAACATGTGTGAGGGCCGACCAAAGTTTTTTAGAATTGAAGTTGTTGAGCCACAGGGGCCAGATTAGGCCCCCAAGACGGACTTTGGACATGCCTGCTGTATGTGGTTGCATTTGGTGAGAAGGTAGTGTTGACTGCTGTAACATGATTTGCTACAGCACAAGTGTGCTGGTCCTGGGGGGGAGGTTACCGTTGGCGTGGTCAAAGTCCGGTCCTGGGTCACGAGTCTGGAAGCAGTTCACAAAGAGCGAGGTGGGGTCCGAAGCAGGAAGCCAGGCGGGGAGGGGAACTCTGGAAGGACAGGTCTGGGTCCGGGCAGAAGCAGGTATTCAACGACGTTGCTCCCGCAACCTGGGACCGGGTTGACTGGCCTTTATCTCCTCTGGGGCCTAGGGCAGTCCTGGCCCACAGGTGACCCGCCTCTCCTGGCCTTAAGGTGAGCACTCCTCCTGGGAGAAACCAGTTCCCTTTGCCTCTCTGCCCTGAGCCTCTGCAGCTCAGGAGAGGCCGGTGGGTTACTGGACCCAGGGGGAGACTCACTTTCCCCTGACAGGGCTGGGAGAGGCGCACCTGTAGGTACTGTGTCCTCAACCACCTCTGGAGCCAGAGTGGAATCACCTGGTGCCTGCTCGTGGGGATCCAGCACAGGTGCAGGCACTTCAGATCCAAGGCCCTGCCCCAGCTCAGCCGGCCCTGGAGGCAGGGGACTCCTGTGCAGGCTGGGGTTCCTCCGGTTCAGCCTCTGAATCGGATTCCCAGGCCATCACAGCAAGTGAATCCATGCCAGCACAGAAAACTCTTCCTTAGAAGAACTGCACTGGCTTCTCCTTTGCTACCTGGCTCAGTTCAAGGTGTTGCTATGACACTACAAAGCCCACAACAGTTTATGACCAGTTTACTTCAAGGACTGTATCACCCCCATATGTGCCCACTTAGATGGGCAGAACTGGCACTTTTTCTTCCAGTTCCTTTTCTTCCAGTTGTATCTTTCTCTATTTTTCTCACTTGGATATTCTGTGTTCCTTAAAGAACTACGATACATGTGTTTATTATTCATGCAAACATATGCACACATTCCAACCTCTGTACTTTCCATTTGTCTTCCTTGTGCAGCTTCTCGTTTGCAGGCCCCCTGATTTCTCCTCTCCTAAACTTGATAGTTTGTCTTTCCTTGTTTGGGGTGCAGTGTTACTATCACACCTGCTGTTTTGGCCAAACATATTTGGGGTGATCAGATGCAAGGGAGGCAGAGAGCTCAAATTCCTTTTAAAAGTTCCACAGAAGATGGAATTTCAGCAAGCACAGCTTGTCATGCAGGGGTGAGAAAAAAGAGATGTTGAAATATCCTCTGCTCAGCAGCTGTTAAACAAGCTGCACTTTTCACCAGCAATTAATTTTTTGTAGATAATCATCTGAACAAAGACAGACCATGGACTGCCAATTCCATGTCCTCCAGCAAGTCTCAGTGTTGCTGCATTGATTTATTAATCATATAATATGACTTTTAGCTTTAATTGGGTTGTTCAGCTTATTTTGTAGCTGTTGCTTTAACAGTGTTTTATAGATTGTAATTGATTCACTTATGATTTGTTAATAATTCTATATTATTTATGTTGTATTTGTGATGTTCTAT